TGAAATTATGCTTTCTGCTTAGTTCCATTACTGTAATGGTGCCCCATTTTGTCCGCCACACACTGGCCTGTCTTCAGGATGACAGGTTGACAGTGACACTCACTGGGTCGTCGCTGAGCACACGGACCCATTAGAGCGTGGCCGCGGTGCCAGCACAGCCTGTGCCAGACGCAGACGCTGCCCCGACGTGACGTGCGCTGCCCTCCTGGTCTGACGCATCTGCGGCGGAAATCACTGCGCCTCCGCTCCTGCCTGGCTCGGTCTGGGTCCTCCCGCACCCGCCTAACTCTTCCCCGCCCAGACCAAGGAGAAGCAGCGCTGTGTGTCCCCACGTGGGGTCCTGGGGAGAGACCTAGGAACTTGGGGGCAGCGTGGTTTTTGTTAAATGGATTCATGATACCCGAGAAGGTGGCTGATGATTTTCCATGGGACACGTGGGGAAAGTGGCCAGAGGGCACGTTCTTGTTCTCTAGTCTGCGTGCCAACGCCCCTCGGTCCATGCCAGCACCCTCGCCGGCTCCCAGGCCGCCCTGGGCCCCGCACTCAGGAGGGTCCTGCTTCCAGGAAGGGCTGGGCTTTTTGGACACAATGCTGACGCCCACCTGCGTGCATCACTTGACCAGGTGGCCGGGCGTCCTCCCCACGTGAGACCTGAATGCTGGCTCCGGGGCCGGGCGTTCTGGGCCCAAGTTTTCAGCTGAGAATCTCTGCTTCTTCAGACTGAGAGGCTCCTTGACCAAGTGAGTCAAGAGAAGAGGGTCCTCAGGCTCTCGCCGGCGGCAAGAGGCACCTATCGAACCTGGGCCACAGGAGAGGGTGGCGCTGGCCCAGATGCACTGTCCACGGGGCACTTGTGTTCTCAGAAGAAGAGGGACTGCTCAGAGCGATGGCAGGACCTCCCCCCCCCCACACACACACACAGAAACCAGCAGTTCTCAGAGGCCGGGGCACCACTCCCCACACAGGGCATGACAGGGCGTCACCATCACTCCTGTGATGAGTCACAGAAAACTCTGCTCTCCCGCTCTCAGCTGTCTCCCAGGGAAAATGTGCCCTCGGAATCCCTGTGGGCTTCAGAAACCAGTTTGTGCGTCCTGGTCAGGCCCCCTGCCCCTTGCTGTCCTCCCACCCCAGCTGCCAGAAATAGGAGTAATGGGAGTCAGACCGTGACCTTGAGAACAACCCTGTCACCCCATCACAGCCGGGAGTCTGTTCCCGAGACCCCTCTCCAAGCCTCGTCTCCCTGCCAGCACCCTCCTCGCCCGCCAGCAAACCAGGGCAGCACTCGGCACCCAGGCGAGGACCCTGCTGCCTGCTGGCCGCCTGCTGGCCTTGACCCAAGTCCTCAAGCACCGGGGTCCTTTGTCATCCATGCAGAGGCAAATGGCTCTCCCCTGGAGCTGTCTGCACAAAAGGTTCATAAAACTGAGATGTAGGCTAGAAGGAGGCTAGCATCACTGTTACTGCCATTTGTCCTGGATCCTGCTCACTCCAGGCCCCGGTGACATCGGTCAATCCGACATTCAGCTGGGCGGGTGGGGCGAGGGCTGCGACACCACCTACCGGCAGGGGCTGCCTCTGCGCGCCACTGCTGACTTCCATGGCCAGGGAGGAGGGGCTCAGGCAAATTTTTGCCTGCCGGCTTCATCCCTCGTTAGAAGTCTGGAGGTGCCCGTGTGCCCGGTGTCTGTGAGCCAGGGAGGAACCCACTGGGCCTGGCCCGAGCTCAGGAGGTATTCCTGGAGCAAGGAGAGGAGGGCCCATTCCTGCCCGATTCCTGTGCCACCTGCCACAGCCTCTTGCTACTGCCCTGCCCACCTGCCCTGCCCACCTGCCACCTCTGGGAGCCTGGGCTGGTGTCCGCTCCAGGCCCCCCAGGTCCCCGAGGGCTTGACCACTACCTGATCCCGTTCAAAGCAGCTGTGTCCTGACCCGGGAGTCAGCAGGAGAACATTGGCAGGGGCCCGTCCTAAGCCAGCAGTGCCCATGGGAAGTGGGGGGCACCCACAGCTCCCGGTGGGAATGGACTCCTGGGGCCCATAGCCCAACAGCCCTGGCCGATGTGCCCCCTTTTAGCAAAGTATGGGCACCCAGAGGGGAAGAGCTGGGTGCCAGTCAGCAGACACGGTGCCCCCGGCTGTCCTGCTGGGACTGAGGGGTGGTCCCAGGGTGTCTGGGGAGCTTAGCGGCGTTCCCGGCAGGGGGCGCTGTGCTGGGAGGGGGGCTTCGCTCTCCCCAGGACCAGGATCCCTGGTATAGGGGTGGGGCTCTCCCCCACAGCAAGGACCCGGGTGTTTGTGGGAGCTGCTCGGGCTCTCCATTCACGGTGATGGGGTCTCTCCGCGTCCCCTCACTCCTCCCCCATGCAGACCACTGCGCGCCCTCCCCCAATCAGACCACTGCCCGCCCCCCCATGCAGACCACTGCGCGCCCTCCCCCAATCAGACCACTGCCCGCTAAGGAGCCGAGTTGCGGTCTCTCCCGCCCCCTCGGGATTCGGCGAGGGGGCGGGACCCGAGCTCCGTGACGTGGCTCGGGACCAGCCGCATAAATAGCAGGGCAGCGGCCGCTCTGGGCACAGACACGTCGGGGGAACCCAGTCGCCTCACGCTCCTCCTTCGCATCCCGGGCCGTGTCATACGGTGAGCGCCCCGACCCGACCCGACCCGACCCGACCAGACGCCCGGACCCGCCGATACCCCGCCGGAAACTGACCCCCCGGGACCCGCCGCTGCTCAAGGTACCGCGTGCGTCGGAGGCCCCGGGGGAGGCGCCCCTCTCCCCGAGTTCCGCTGCGAGCGCCCGCCTGCCGGTGGACGCACCGAGGGGCGCGGCGCCTCTGCCCCGTCCCTTGTCCCTTGTCCGGGGGCGCAAACCGCTGGGTCCTCGGTCCCCTTCACCCTCCGTCCGGCCGGTCCGGGGTCCGAGCTCCGCCCCGACGTGCGCGGCGCCCGCTGCCCCTTCCCTTGCAGATGCCCAGAGGCGGCGCCCTCCTGCTCGCCGCGCTGCTCCTCGCCGCCCTGTCGGCCACCCTCGGGTCCCCGGTAAGTGCGCCGTCACCCCTCCGGGCAGAGGGGGCGGAGTGTGGGCGCTGGTGCCGGGAGGGGGGGTGGGGGGGGCGGGGGGCCGGCGGGGACGCTCCCCCCTTGGGTCCTCCCGCCATCGCTCCTCCGCGGTATGTGCGGTGCCAGGACAGCCTGCTGGGAGCCAGGGAGCGGGGACTGGACGCCGAGCCGCAGCTTCACGCGCAGAGGGTCGGTCACTGGAGCCGGTCCGGGCTCACCGAGAAGCGAGCGGTGCGGATGGGGCTGGTCTCTGGCTTGTCCGATGCGCGCACCGGCCCTGCCATGTCCGGCCTTTCGCAAGTGCGTGTGATCCGACCGATGTTCTGCCCGGAGAGCTGGGCCTCTTCCCCGAACGGTCTGCGCCGGCTCGTTATGTGAGAGTGACCACGGCCTGTGTGACTGGGCCCGTGGTGGGGAGTCCAGCCTCCCGCCATGCGGCCCCACGCAGGCTGCTGGGCCAGGCAGGTCCTGGCCATCGGCTCCTTTCTCCCGTCTCAGGTGAAGGAGAAGAGGGGCTGGACCCTGAACAGCGCTGGCTACCTTCTGGGTCCACGTAAGTGACCAAGAACCTGAACCGGCAGACGCTGCACCTGCCGCTGCGGCAGCCATGAGTGTGAATCCTGCCGTTTCTGAGCTGCTGGGCGTCACTCTGACCCGAGGCTGGTCCAGTGTTAGATGAAGGGCAGGGGCGCTTCCTGAGGCTTGGAGGATGGGGTCCCCTTAGGTTAATGGCACTTGCCACGTCTCTAGGTGGCACATCGCCCTCCCTGAAGCCACACCCCCCTCCCCCTCCATAGGGCCTAGAGGGACTCAGTCACTCAGTCCCTGCCCTGACCCCACCTGCCCTCCCCCAGCCTCGAGGTGCCTGACTCTGCCTTGAATCCTGACCCCCCTGCGGCCCTTGGCACCCTGTCTCCTGCCTTCTCCCTTTTGTCCACATTCCTCAGGGCTGCCTCCACCGTTTAAACTGCCCGGGAGCTGTCTTAGTCCTTAATCCTGGAGTTTAAGTACATACTTTCTCCTGCTCAGACGGTTTATCCATCGCCCGGGGGTCCTTGAGAGCCCGGCACTGATGGCAAACACTAGGTGGGCCAGGCAGGACCCATGGGTGCTTGGAAGGGGTGCACGTTCCCCTGCACCCTTCGCACCCCTGAGCTCTCTCCCTCAGAGAGCACCTCGTCTCTGGGTGCTCCTGGCCCCCGAAACAGGAGGAACCGTTGGAATGTTGACAGCATGTCAAGGAGACTTTTCACCCTGAGTTGGGAAACACCCTTTTCCACTGTGAAGTTTTAAGTCTCTGTTGATAAGTCTCTGTTGAGTTGGACCCCCAGGAGCTGGCATGCAGACAGCTCTTTGTGGGAAGTCCTTACAGCCTAATGGTTTGCCCTTGACCTCCACCGCCCACGTAGAAACAGCGCCGGAAGAACGCGTTTGCAGCGGACACCCAGCCGCCCGCTGGATCAGCTCACTTACTGCCTTTCTCAATCTCGTGCCAGGAGCTCTGTCCTGGGAAAATGAGTTAATTTTCATTCATCCGGCTTGTGGATGACACAGCCCACCAGGCCCAGCAGCCAGAAACCCTGAGCCGTCCTCGCCCTCGTCCCCTCTTCTCCTTTATCTCCTAAGTCGCCCCAAATCCAGCCCCCTCTCCTCATTCCAGGCCACTTGGTATAGAGCCCTCATTCTTTCTTCCAATAGTTTCCTAAGGGAGCTCTCAAGAAGCACACCACCCAATGCACACACAGTCACCCAGCCTACCCCACCCCAAGCATGTCTGTCTGTCTGTCTGTCCGTCTGTCTCTCTCCCCGCCGCCCCACCCCCTTCTCTCCCTGGCTCCGATCCATCTCCCACACAGTTGCCAGAGTGGTCTTTGAAAAATAGAAATATTTCGGTACCTCCCTTGTTTTCAGAAACATAGGCCCCGAGCCCCAGTCGCCTGCCAGCACCCCTGGGAGCCTTGTGCTCCCCGCTGCGCCAGGCCTGTGGGCTCTGCGCCCTGGTCCTGTGGAGTCCCAGCACCTGGTGACAAACTGGGCCCCGGGTACATGCTGTTGCCTCAGGTCCCGAGCACGCTGTCCTCCCTCCTGTGGTTCCCACACTGGGCTGCCGTGGTAGTCGGGTCCTTTGGGCGGGGGGAGGGTACAGTAACGACACTCAGGGGCTGTCTGCTCTGCTCTGCAAACAGATGCTGTTGACAACCACAGGTCATTCCATGACAAGCACGGCCTTGCTGGCAAGCGGGACCTGCAGCCTGAAGACGGCGCGAGGGCAGGTGAGGGGACGGGTCCCGGGGCTCCGAGGCCCTCCACTGTCCACCTCTGGGCGCACAGGGCAGTGGTCCGAGCCGGGCCCGGCCACATCTGTCCACTGCTAGCCACAGAAGCAACGACAGTGGGAGTAAGATGCTGGGCAGCGCAGGGACGGCAAAGAGCCCTCCGGACTTGGGGCCTCCAGGAGAGGGGTCCCCGAGATGGGTGACAGAGATGCTGGGGTTCATGACCTCGGGGTGCCCGGAGCACCTGTTAAGTCGTAAATGTCGATCCTTTTGGTTTCTAGGCGACTCTGACGGGCCGCTGCCCTGGAACGATGATGTTGTGCGCAAGATAATGGAGTTTCTGACTTTCTTGCATCTCAAAGGTCAGTGAAATGTGGCCGATTTACATTTCCGCCTCCTAGAACCCTGGGCACTTAAAACGGAAAGGGTTCCCTAGACTTCTGCAGCGACCGATCCCCATGCCAGCTGGTTGGAGTTACAGCCCGGGAACTGGAACTAGCTAAAGCAGGGCTGGGCTTGCTGCCGGTCCCACACCGTCCCTGGAAAGGGTCATCAGACCTACTGTTCCCAGACAGAGAGAGAGAGAGAGAGAGAGGGAGAGAGCGAGCGCGCGCCTCAGGGTTCCGTTCTCTCCGTGCACTATTGACGTGGCAACAACCGCTGTCCCTGTCCGGCCACAGTGCCCCACCGCCCGCTCCTCACAGGCGTCTGAGACCAGGTCTCGTCAGCACTGCAACTGAACAGGGGCCCATCCGTCAGATGTGGGCTTTCCTTTGGGTTTGGGGCAGGCTGCGTTTAAATGCATGGCCCTCCGCTCTGGACCTCCTGCAGACGCTGCCGGCCATGAGGCTCCCCCTGCCCATTTCAACCCTGGCTTTGCCGTCTGTGCTTCATGCTTGTCATTCATTCAACAGTGAGGGTCTGGCCTTTGCCAGATAAGCTCACAGGTCCAGCCGCCCGCGGGAGGCCTGCGCTCTGAGAGTTAACCGTGCAGGTGGGGGCGGGGGCCGGGGAGATGGACGCTGTGATGCTCACGAGAGACAGCTGGTTGTCAAGTTTCACACGTCACGATTTCGTGTGAGTTTGAGAGTCCAGGCTGATTCTGTTCTGTCTGGACCCTGTAAGGCGAGCCAGGGCTGTGATGTCCTCCGTGCGGACAGCAGGGGCTCATCACCCAGCGTCCGTCTCTTTGCAGAGACCGGGGTTCTGCTGCCCATACTCCCCTCGGCGGCGTCCTGGGAAGACACAGAGCAGTCACCCTGAGGGAGCCGGGAAAGGCCCTCCCGTCCCAGGAGGTCAGATTCTGAGACGATGGGTCAGCTTGTGCCAGCTCCCCGAGTCAGCCAGCCCCTCCTCTCCTTTGAAGCTGTGTTGTTATAATTTAAGATTTCCCCTTTGGTAATTATTCTCGTGGCAAAATAAAAACCAGCAAGTGTTTCCGTGTCTTCCTTCCTTGTGCCTGTCTGTCACCACCACCAGAGTGCTTTACGACCAGCTGGAGCCCTGGCCGGGTGGCCCAGTGGTTGGAGTGTCGTCCTGCACACCAAAAGGCGGCGGGTTCAAGTCCCAGTTACGGCACATACCCAGGTTTCAGGTTCAGTCCCTGGTCAGGGTGCCTACGGGAGGCAACCAATCAATGTCTCTCTCTCTCCCTTCCTGTCTCTAAAAAAAATCAATAAAAAACATATCCTCAGTGAGGATTTAAAAAGATAAAAAAGATACGGCTGGATTGTAATCACGTGCATTAGATCAGTGCACATCGGGAACAAAGGCGTTTGCACACTAAGCTGAGTCAGACACAATTATGAAGTTGAGTCTGTTACTGAGGCAGAAACCAGCAGGGGGTGGGGCCGGGAGTGAGCTGGGGACCCACAGGGCAGGGAATTAAAATTCGTGTGGTCCAGGTAGAAAGGTGATTGTCCCCAAAACTTCAAGTGCTTCCTAGCTGAGGAGATGTGTGCCCTGTCCGGGTGCGGAAAGCCAGCACCTGGCAGAAGCTCTGAGGACCGGCAGTGATGGTGCATCCCGAGGGGGAGGCAGTCACACCTGAAGACCCAGAGGAATGCGGCGAGGGGGTGGGGATGGGGAAGAGCCTTCTCTTAGGTCACGTGACGACGCGGGGCCTCTTGGCCTTGGGAGCAGGTCTCTGGCTGCATCACATGACTATACGCACCTGCACTTGGCTGTTCTCACACTGACTTTCCTAAAAGCTGTGCTGACTTGCTAAACCCTCCCCCTTGAGCAACCCACAGGGGTCACGCCTTCCAGTGGCCTGTCCCTGGCTTTTAGGCTTCAGCTCAGCACACCTGGCTGCAGCGCTGGGCCCCACCCCAGGGTGCAGGTGGGCTCCCCTGCTGTGCTGGATCCTGGCTGCCTCTGGGCTCTGCAGGTCAGAATGGGCTGGGGGACCTGTGCCCTCCCCTCCACACCTGACCCTCAGACTCCCAGCACTTGCCCTGGGCCTGGTGTGGACTAAGATGGTGGTGAGTGCGAAACACTCACTGAATGTTAGGATTGGTGCACGAAGAACGTGAAACGGAACAACCACTTTTACTTTGGTTACATATAGGAATGATAATGTTTTGGATATATTGGGTTAAATAAAATCATTAAATTGGCCTGGCTGGTGTGGCTCAGTGGTTGAGCATTGACCTATGAACCAGGAGGTCACGGTTCGATTCCCGGTCAGGTCACATGCCAGGGTTGCAGGCTCGATCCCCAGTGTGGGGCGTGCAGGAGGCAGCGGATCCATGATTCTCTCTCATCATTTATGTTTCTATCTCTCCTCTCCCTTCCTTTTTGAAATCAATAAAAATATGTTTTAAAAAAAGATTATTAAATCGAATTTCACCTGTTCCTTTTCACTTTTTTAAAATGTGGTGACTAGAAATTTTAAAACTACCTGTGTGGCCGGCAGATACTGCCATTTGCCCTGCTGAGAAGGAAGGCAGCCCCAGGAGGAGTCACAGAGCCCCATTGCGGCCCCCTTCCGCCTGAGGGTCTGGGGGGCAGGTGAGCCTTGGCCACAGTGTCCCCGCTCTGCCCCAGCTCCGCTCCCGAGAACTCGCAGTCTCACAGCTCTGCCTCTACCTCGGGCTTTGGCCTCAGAGTCTGGATCCGGGTGGGAGACAAGGGGGTTGAAACAGAGAAATGAAGTATCAGAAGGAGGCTGTTCCAAATATCGCTGTGCTGGCCTGCTCCAGCTCCTGCTCCCCAATGTGCCAGAGGCCCCAGCCACACTGCCCGCCCTGCTGTGCCTGCAATGAGCTTCCGAAGGTTGTCTGTGGGGCCAGTACCACCCACACAGAAACATGACGAAGTGTATTTTCAGTCACCAAGCTAATTACAGCCACAGGAGACGGCTGAAATTTTTATTCTTTGCTTTCACAATAGAACCAAAGGAGTCAACTTAACAGCTAATATTACCTGCTACTTTCTGCAAACTAGTCAGTTTAACCATACTCTACCAACAACAATAGCTTAACAGTAATCATGGAGAAGTTATTGGACAATAGAGTTTTTCCACAATCAAATAGAAACACCTAAGAAACTAGACACATTTCCGTCCCACAACTCAAGATGCTACGGATGGAAGCGCGGCCTGTGCGCCCGCTGCCTCTCGGTGTCCGGGCGTCAGCCGGGCTGACAAGCCCTGGGCCCTGGGACACGCCTGCAGTCGTTCCTTGGGTGTTCAGGGCTCTCTAGAGATCTCAGGCTGCATCTCAGCAGCCCAGCGGAGATGTTATTTCTAAGAATCTGGGAAATCTGATGGCTTTTATGCAGAGAAGCCTCCAGAGGAGACTCCCCGAGGGGATGAGGTCAATAGGGTGACTCTTCCCTCTCCCGCCCCGTGTCCACCCACCAGCACTGGGTGTGGGTGCAGAGGTCCCCAGGCTCACGGGAACCCACGCTCCCTCCTGGCCCTGCCATGTCGTCAGTCACGCCCCTCCTCAAACAGGGGCTGTGGATGGCAAACCCTCCCAGACTCAGCCTCCTGTGTCCCCTGGAGCAGAGGGAGCGCCCACCTTGATGGTGCAGCTGTGGACACAGACCGGCCTCGTGTTCCTTAAAGCAGCCTCTCCTCCGTGGGTCCCCGGAACCCCGAGCGCAGACCCGCGGCTCCTCTCTCCTCCCCGCCTTCTCCTCTACTCCATCTTCAACCCTTTGGACTTAAACTCGATGTGGAGAATCTGGGACAGGCACCTCCCGAACTCCTCCAGGACCATCTGCTGGGCCAGGCACTCCGAGCAGCGCCCCTTCTCCGCCTCCTCGCCCTGAGCCAGCAGACAGGCGCACGCGGCTTCCACCACCTCCCAGGAGATGCACGAGGACCGCCTGCAGGGACACACCAGTCAAGGCCATGGTCAGAGGCCCGGCTGCTCTTCAAGGCCGGCGTGTCCAGGGGACGGGCTTGTCATGCATTTCAGAGACTCACTGGCAAAACCAAATGCTGTCTTCCTGATATGGAAGCTGTTCACTAGAATAGCATCAGGATTGCTTTTAGAAGGAGATACGGAGGAAGGTAAACCTGTCAGCTTCTTGACATCCCTCTCGTGGTCGATTCTAAGTTTCTCAAAATTAGATCCTCACAAACCCAGAGGCCTGGGCTCCGGTCAAGCCCGTGGCTGGGCAGGAGCAGCAGCAGGAACCTCAGACAAGACCAGTCCCTGCGGACAAGCAGCCTGGGTCCCAGCGCCGTGCAGGGCTGCGCCGCCCTCCTGGGTGCCCGCTCCCCCACAGGTGCGCGTGGGGCTGGGGAACCCCAGGGGCTCTGAGGACTCCCTCGTCTGTCACCCCGGGGGCGCGCTTGCTCTGACTGCCCAATGGGCCCTGAACAAGGACCTGCAAGACGCTGTGCTGAGTCCTGCAGGGGCAGCCACGTCCCCAGGAGATCGGGACAGCGTGGCTCAGCTCAAGGCCGCTCACACCGAACATTTTAGGAAAACTCTATTAAAAAGTGTTGGGTTATGAAAATAGAGACAGGTGCTGGGACTGGTTAAAACCTCTCACAGCCCTAGCCGGTTTGGCTCAGAGGATGAGCCTTGGCCTTCGGACTGAAGGGCCCCAGGTTCGATTCCGGTCAAGGGCACATAGTCGGGTTGTGGGTTCAATCCCCAGTGGGGGCGTGCAGGAGGCAGCCAATCAGTTATTCTCTCTCCCTCTCCCTTCCTCTCTCTGAAATCAATAAAAATACATTAATAAAGTAACACACTTAAAAAAACACCTCTCCACCAAGGTAACATGCAAGAACTGAGTTGAAGGTGAGAGGACAGGGCTGCCCAGGGCAGAGCTATCACTTTGAGACCAGAGTCCACGGCTCGGAGCCCTCGTCACACTCCATCGACACGCGGTCCCGGGGGAGGCGGCCACACTGTCCCTGCAGTTTCCCAGAGGACTGGGCCACGCCTGGTCAGCGTCCACCAACACAGCACAGCCCTCTGCAGGCCACAGTGAGGCCACCTCTGACGTCTCTAAGCAAAGAAGCATGAACGTGGCTGTTCAACAACATTAATGACGTGTGAATGCAAAGACGGTTTTTAAATGGATAAATCTAGTCCAATATAAAGTTATTACTCAATCTTTGAGCTACGAGGACCACCGCATGGCCGCAAGCTAACGAATGGGAAAATACCCAGCTGCACAGGCTCATCGCGCTGGGGAGGACCAGCCTGCGTCCCGAGCATCTCTGCGCTACCACCACGCGGTTACGGTGACGGTGACGGTGACGGTGACGGTGAGCGGCTCAGGGGTTTGCTGTCTGGAAGCCACACCCCGCAGCCCGAGGCCAGTGGCCTGCTGGTGGCTCCTGCTCGGAGGACAAACAGGACAAAGCAGCGGGGCCTCTGGAACAGTGTGGGTCCAGGGTGAGTCTGGAAGGGGGGACGGCACCTCGCCCAGTCCCTGGCGCCCGCCCTGCAGGCAGGCCCGCCCCTTCCAGTGTGTGCATGAGCCCCGTTCCCAATCAGGAGGTCAGTTCTGAGCACCTACCTCTCCTTCCTGAATTTGGGGAGTCCTGACACGTAATGGCTGCCTTCAAAACTGCCAGCTTCTGCGTAGTTTGGCACGGCCATGAGCGTTTTTTGTTCGGGGCTTTCTTCATAATGTTTGCAGCCAATGCATTTGCAGATAGAGGAGCACATGATTTTGGCCTGGAAATAGAGAATTGTCCTACAATCACCCAGAAGAACAAATTCTGTTTGGACCTCCAATGGCTTTATGGTGTACACGTAACCAGCAATGTTCAGACCAAAAGAGCAGGAGTGAGAGGAGCCCGTGGCGGTGATGTGAGGAGCGCGAGGGGCACGTGCCCAGGTGCCGCTGTAGAGGGGACACAGTGGGGGGCTGACAAGGGGGTGGGGAGGGGCTTTGGGAGGCTGGGCGAGTGTGGGTGGAGTCCCCAGGGGGCGCTAACTCTGATTTTGAATGCAGCTGCGTAGCTGGTTACACAATCCCAGCTCGGGTTCACCTTGGCCCGCAGTTGAGGGCACCTCGGGCTCCCACTGCGGCAGAAGATGAGGGGGTGGAGGAGTCTGAACCTGCCGGCTGGCCTATGCTCGGTGTTCTGGGCAGGCCTACCTGCCTCCCAGTGGGTGGACTTTATTCCTTGTTTCATGGCAGTGTTGCACCCAGGGGGCAGCAAGGGGGTACCGGCTGTGTCCAGCAAGCCTGAGCCCAAGCCCTTGCTTGTGCCGGCCCTGGGCACGGCCCGCAAGCTGGCCCTGGGACACTGGAGTTTCTAGCGTCCTCTCTGCCCAACCCCTGCCATTTCCCTCTGTTCCTTCCAGCTCAAAGGTGCCTGGTGTGCTTTATTCTGCACCTCTGGGTGTTTTGAACGGAGGTTTCTCGGGATTTCTAGTTCCTCTATAATGCCAGGGACTACAGGTCCCCTGCACCTCACGTGGCCGTGGCTGGGCAGAGGCACGTGGCTGACACAGCGTCACCCGACAGCCAGCAGGGCGCAGTGAGGAGCAGAGAGACGCCACAGCACCTGGGGCTGCGCTGTTAGGATTTGCCATCTCTGCACCAGTTTTGACTGTATTTTCAGGATCTGCACGGGGGTAAAGGAGGGGGGGTAAAGGTGGGGGGATGGGCGGCTAGGTCTGCTTGCCGGACCTTTCAGCGCCTATCTCCAGAATCATGAGGCCTTTCTTACATCTCAACTTCTATGACAACTTTTTAAAAATGAAGCTCACAGCCCTGGCGGATGTGCTCAGTGGTTGGAGCGTCAGCCCATGCACCGAAGGGTCGTGGGTTTGATTCCCTGTCAAGGTCATGTATGTGGGTTGGGGGTTCCCTCCCAGCCCCAGGTCAGCTTTGCCTGTCACTTGCTCTCGCTGTTCCCTGGAGGAGCCACAGTGACCGGCTCTGTCGTCAGTGAGAAATGCACCGCCGGTCCATTCACTCCGCTCACACGCTTGCCGTCTCCGCAGCCAGTCTCTCAGGCTTGCTCCCCCCCCCCCCAACCCGGTTTCAGCGTCATATATGTTTGCTAGGTTTTGCTGTAGAAAATGAACGGTTGGTGAAGATGCCGAGGAAATGGCTGTGTCTGTGGACGCGTCTCCTCCAGGGTTTCCTGTTGCTTTTCCTAGGACAGCGGGACCCGGGGCTCTGCCATTGGCTCACTACTGCCCACGCGCCGCGTTCCAGCATCTTCCCGCAGGACCGACGCAGCCAGGTGGGGCGTGTGCACGACTGCTGCCCTGGTCTTACAGACCCAGAAACTGGGGTGCTGGAGGTTGCATAGCGACGGCAAGTGATGGAATCGACTCCAAGGCCCACCGAGCCTGGGTCTCGGCCGCTGGGCTTGCTGTTCTCATGCAACTCAGCTACCTTTTATCCGGCTTGTTCACATGTCTTATCCATCTACCTACCTTCCCTCTAGACACACAGATGTGCACATGTTCTTAATAACAACGTGACTCGGTGCTCTTCATAAACAGACACGAGTCACAGCGCAGTCCCGTCCGCAGGCTGGCAGCTGGGACCTGGGCCCCGTGCTGCGGGACGAGGTCAGGACTCTGAGCAGGCTGTGCCCCGTGTGCCCCACCCAGTCAAGTTAGACGGCCCAGCCCCAGAGACTCCCGATGACGCCTGCCCATCGACACCCCCAGGGGAACCTGTTTGGACTTTGGGGCTTCGTTTTGCCTCTGCTGGAACCTCACGCAGGTGGAATCATGCAGCGTGTACCCTTTCCGCCTGGCTTCCTCCCGCAGCTGCACACAGCTCTCCTCCGTCCTGCCCCTCTGACGGCCGGCCGCACAGGCTCATCGCCCTACCACAGACGGACACCCGGGTCGTGTCTGGTTTGCGGCTATTATGAGTAAAGCTGCTGAGGGCATTCTTGTAAAGGCTCTGGTGGACATGTCTGTTGGCTGTGTGTTAGAAGTAAGATAGAACTGCGGGGTGACAGTACACGCAAGGGTTAGCTGTAGTAGTTGGTGCCAATCAACTCCCCAAAGTGGTTGTACCAGTTTCTATTCCTACCAGCAACGCACGGGAATGCCACCACTTTTTAAATAAAGCGTTGTACACTGCAGACAGTACCTTTTACCCTAAAGAAAGTGCTACTATACTGAAGTTATGTGTGTCATCAATTTCAACAAATTTATCTCTAATTCAAGAGGGGAGTTAGATTACTGTAGGAACAAGGGACTGACCAGCCATGGCGCATGGTGATCTCCGGTCCACGGTGATGGCCTCACTGTCCTGTGCAAAGTAGGCCCCCGGCCCCAGCCTAACTGTCCTCCCTGCTCTGGGCACCTTGTGTGTCCACAGAAGAGGCGCTGCAAGCTCCCGCAGGTAGCCGTTAGCAAGCGGCCTGCAGGGCGGTGGCCTTGAAGGGAGCCCAGGTTCTCCCCGTCACCTGGACGTCCTGGAGCGCAATCGAGACATTCGTGATGGCTGAGAGCTTCCTCCCCATTTCCCCTGGACAGTGGACCAGCCACATGTCTGCAGAGCACGCTGCTCCAACGTGGGCCTCTCTGCTACGTGTATGACCCAGTTTCTCAGGTCGAGACAACGTGGACATGTGCATGTTCTTGAATCAGACCTTCCGAGCCCCGGGGCGTCCCAGGGGAGGGCAAAGCTCCCTCCCTGTCGCGTTCGGTGTACATTCTTCAACACCGGGCTTTCCCCAAACTGAAATGCAGACTCTGGCGGTGGCTTTTCACCTGCAAGACGTTCCAGTGCTTCCGAGATGCTTTCGTTGAATGGGAAGCACTTACCTTAATGGCCTTGAAGCGCTCGAGTCCGTGGCGTAAGTGGCTGCAGCAGGCATCACAGCTGCAGTTGTTGCAGAAGTCCCCGCTGGCAAAGCAGTCGCAGTACCTGTGGGGACAGTCGCACAGCCTGTCACAGGCCGTGGCCGAGTCAAAACCATTTCCTGGAAATGTCCACTGATGCCCACTGTCCCCTGGCCCCACTGCTGCTGTCCCAGGAACACAGCAGGTTGGGGTGGACATGTCAGTTAATAAAGAGCCGTCTTCCCACCAGCTGTCCCCGCCCCTCCGCCACGGCACCGGAGACCCTCCTGGGAGAGAAGACGCAGGGGACCCGAGGCCGCACTGCTCTAGGCTTGGTCTTGCTGTCTCTCCCGTTGAGTGCTGTGCGGGGGAGATGAATGCTGGGGACACACGTGTGACAGGGTCCACACTACGCCCCTGACTCGCAGTCAACCATCTCCTCCTGGGAAAACGGGAGACCCCGTCACTGCGCCAGCTCCCAGCTGCTGTGGCACTTCCAGCTCCAGAGCCCCTGCCCCGCTTCCCCGGGACACCCCCTCACCGTCTCTCATCACTGAGGTTCCTCTCTCTCTCCCCCTCCCTCTCCCTCTCCCTTCCTCTCTGAACCAATACAAACATATTTTTAAAGTTTCCAGAAAAGCAGAAACTTCATATTCCTTATTATAGTCGTCGTTACGTTACCAAAAATAACAGCAGCAATGATGCGTCAGAATTCACACCAATACCGGTGGCCGGATTGTTGGACCAACACCGGTGGCCGGACAGACTTTCATCCGCGTGGTCAGCTAGTCGGTAAGGGAGCACTTCACACCCACACCCAGTCGCTGGCGGGCCAGGCCCACGCTGACCTGCGCGCACGTCCCTACTCGGACCCCGTCTGCCTTGTCTTGGGGAAATCAACAAGGAAGCTAGTGGAGAGCCTAAGAGGTATGAGCTGGGGCCGGCCGGGCCAGAACGGAGCAGCAGCCCCTGACCGCCCTCCAGACCCCAGGCCCAGCACCGGGCGTTCCGATGCAGATCACCGGCTGGGTTCGTGCAGTGACAGCAAATCAAGTAATTATTCGCAGCAAAAAATTCGAACACAAAGCTCATGTTGCTCCTGGCACATCATTTATAACAGAAAATTGGTTATGACCTGTATAAGGACCTCAAAAAAAGGAGACTGTGCTGAGTGAGAAAACCTGGTAGAGGCTGGAGAGGGGGAGGGGCCCGGGAGAAATGGGCTGCAGGGAGGATCCCTCACCAGGCTCGGCCCCCAAGTCCTCCAGCAGCGCGGCACCCGGAGGGACCGGACCGGGGCTGTGGGAGCCCAGTCTCCTTGGGGTCCTGGCCGCGCCAAAGCACACAGCAAAGTCCCGAGGACGAGGAGGGGAAACCAGTGTCTTCGGGCCCGTGACCCTCTCATGGCTGCACAACCCGCCCTGCCAGGCAGCCAGCAGGGCCACCTGGCTGTGCCTGCCACGACCAGGGGCCAGCACAGTAACAGCTGCGCACCCGGAGGAAGCCGGAGAACAGAAATCACCGACCGCCCTGCCGGTGCTCACTCCTCACAGCCAGGCAGCCTCCAGAACGGAGGGGGGTTCCCTCAGCCTCTCCTGCTGCCCTTGGGCGCCCGGTGAGCCTGTGCCCGGGGCAGCCCCGCGGGAGCCCCTCCCCCACTGCCTGGGCTGCCTCCGTCAGACCCACGCCCGCTGCCTTAGGCTGCCTGCCCCACACTCCTGGGGGCAGGACAGAGGCTGCCTGCGCGGGAAGGGCTGCCCGTCCCTGTCCCCGGCTGGTCCGTGAATGTGAACAGAGCTGCAACCAGCTGGGCGAGTTTACGGAGTTACAATTACAGCCGCCGCTTGAAAATGGCCATCGAGGTCCCAGGCAGGAAGGGCAGCCACGTCTCCTCGGAGACCGCCTGCCGGCGCTGCCGGAGAGCGTGAGGGACCTCGTGGAAGGTGCACCAAGACCACCAGCCACAGTCAGTGACGGCCACGCCATTGCTTACGTGCATGACAGCAAGAAAGAAAAAAGAAATACAACAGCTCACGTGAACCAATGTGAAGCAGACGGAGCCTCTGAAACAGCCCGGCGGCGTGGGGCCTCCCGGCGACACCAGCCCCACGCACACGACACTGTCTCGCGCTGCTCCTTCCAAAAGCTCTTTTATTGCTGGTGAGGCTGCAGCAAAGCTAATGCTTCCACTTAGAGGAAAATGACAGTGCACCCGAGAGAGCCTCTTAGACTCTTGAAGGAGTGACTGTTGATGGCGTTGGTCCTTACCCAGCCAGCGTTATCCGGGGCGGTGCGGGGAGGGCCGGTCCCGAGGGCAGAGCAGACCCCGAGGCCGGGGCCGGCTGGGCTCCGTGGTCCAGCTGCAGAGTCAAGGCCAGCATATTTTGAATTAGTGGATGTTTTAAACGTTCCTTCCAGTCAGCCCCTAGCTACAGAGGAAAACAAGCCTTCTCCTGGTTTTACCTGGCAATCCCTCCCAACAAGTCTGGGTCTGTTAGCGGGAACATGCCATGACTGCGGACCGAGGGGAGGGGTCTGGGACCTGGGGCCAGGCCACCGACCAGCTGGCAGGCAGCACACACAGCGGTCAGCCGCTGGCTAGAACACTGTATTGGACATCTTTTTCATTTTGTGAAATAAATTCAATTACCAATCTCTGTAAACTAAAAATGGCCATTATTATTATATCCTTAGTGTAACATGAGCGATCTTGACATTTGATGTCTCATTAGCAACCATTACTTTTTCATCTATTCAAAAGGAGCATTTCATAGTCAACGTTAACGAATTCAAAAGCAATGTCGTAATCTCTGCTTTATCCACGGCCTTGGCTGTCCTGGTTCCAGCTTATTTTTCTTTGTTCCTCAGCAGCGTGGCTCACAGGGAAAGGAAAAGCTAGCAACATCGCTGACCTAATTTTCTCCCCTCAGAGCTTGAAGAAATGAAAAGGGTTGGATACATTTAGGTTTTGAGATTGTCTATGTCACAGCTAAACGCCCTATCCTGTCCCTCCACTGAAAACTTGAAATTTTAAAATAAGCTTTACTTACGCAGTACAGCCTGGGAAAAACACCGTTCTACCCATCCTCCTCCTCGCCGCCCTCTCGCCTCTTTTTAAATTGTGTGTCTCCGCTGCCTGTTGGGGCTCGAGGACACCGAGCAACCACCCTGGTCCACTCTGTGCAAAGCCTCCCACTGGCACGGGGACTCCGTTTACAGGAGGGACGTGCCCGCGCGTGACTCCGTCCCAGACACCCGTCCCCACGGCCGTCCAAAGAGCTGCGATTCTTTCGGAGAAAGGATCTCACGGGGCTGAGGCCATTCTTTGCATAAACCAGGGGCAGTTTCTTCCCCCTCTGCTTAGGCCCAAAGTAACGCAGAGAAAAAGGAATGTCTCCTAAGGGCCAGGCAGGCAGCAAACCTAGGGCAACCTTTGCTGGAACCCACAGCCTTCTTCAGCGGCGTTTGGCACCCAGGAGTGGAGACAGGAACCCACATCCCTGGCACCTCGCTGGGATGCAGGTTCTGGGTGGGGCTGAGAGCCAAGTTTCTAGCAGCTCCAGGGGACGCCCACGCGTGCGTCCTCAAAGCACACCTTGAGGAGCAGGGGAAGCAGGGGTTCCAGGGAGGCAGCAGATGCATTGCTAGGAGAATTGCCTGAGGTCCACAGGGTAAGAAGTCAGGGGAGCCAGAATGGGGACAAGAATCATCACAGCCAAGGAGAGCCGGGAGGAGGCGTGGTCTAAAGGGCATTTCTCCTTTGAGAGCTCGGAGGAGGCCTTTTGGAGCCGAGGCAGGGGTGGGGGTGGGGGTGGGGGGTGGTGTGGGTGGCCAGGAGGGAGAGAGGAGGTGCACGGCGCTCACAGGACCACGGCTTAGACTCATGAACATTTGATGTCTCATTAGCAATCCTTCCCTCCTGCCTATTGTATCATTTGAGAAAAATTTACTCAACAAATATTAACTCTAAACCAGACTCAGAAATCTCTAGTCTGGTGGCTGTCAATCCCAGGTGTGCCGACTCCGCCCTCTGAGCCGACTCCCAACAACTCCACATTCCCAGGGGCACTCAGGCTGCCCCCACTCCCCTCTCTCAGCTCCGAGGACACTCCCCCTGGCCCATGTTCAGGCTGAAGACCCTGGCATCCTGGGCTCCGCTGGTTCCGGTTCCCACATCCAGCCTCTCACAAACACTGGCGCAGCCTTCAAAGCACCCTGAGGAGCTGCTGCTTCTCGCCACCTCCATGCCCTCGGCCTGAGATTGTTAGGGCTGCGGTCACCACTGGCCTTGCCCCTCCTCTGGGCCGGCCCCTTTAAGCCCAGTGAAGGCACAGCCCTTCCATCACCTGCCTCTTCCTCCCGCTCACGCTCACGCTCACGCTCACTCACCCCAGCCCCCGCTGTCCTGGCCCTGCCTGGAATCTGCCTCCATGAGGCACCACCTGGCTCCCTCCCTCCGTCTTTCAAGACCTTCTCAGTGGAGCCAACGGGCCCGCCTTCCTCCGACGAACCCCCATGCCTTGTGCCCATCCTTTGTGGCCCGGCGCACAGTGTGACTCCCTTGTTAGGTCCGTTTGCTGTCTGTCTCCTGCAGGAGCTTAGAGTCATGTGTCTTATGTTGCTTTGTTTTGGGGGACAAAGAGCCGCATCTTGGTCGGATCCACCCCTCCCAGGCCTGTCACTGTGGGCACGGGGCTGAACACTTGGTAAATGGATCACTGTGGATCTTTAAAGGGAGGATAATTATATTTCCTGAGAAATTCCAACTTTGACAATCAAAATTTCAAGAGACAGTTGTTGTTTTGTTAAAACATGACTCACTTGTTGTGTAATGAGATTTAATTTTGCTGGCACTGGCAAAAATCTTCCTACTAAAGTAGTCACTGGTTTAGGGACATCTGTAAGGAAGACAATTAAAATTAATTGATGCATATATTGTTTTCCTTCCACATGCACACGGAAGAACGTTCAAACATGAAAATGTATCATGGATTTATCATGTGCAAAGTCATTTAAATTTATCTTCGTCCTCTTTGTTTTTTATCCTATAAAAACTTTCAAGTTAATGTAAGTTTTTACTAATTACACCCTTTTTCTTTGCCATAAAGCTACTTAGCTTGAGCTCCAGGGATAGTCTATCCTAAATAATGTTGCATACCCAGGTTCCCAAACTGCTGGCTGAGGTACCCTGGAGTAAGCAGCACACTCACCAGGAAGCCGCCGGAAAGTTTATTTTCAAAGAAAGCACAGCGACATCTGCTGGTCACCAGGTGAAGTACTTTCCATTTATGTGTTTCTTTTCCAACTGGTTTCTTAGTTGTTAGGATGTAAATACTGATCAGGCTATTTAGCCCAAACTACTTCAGGAGCAGAACTGGTAGGTGTTTCTTGGGCCCAAGGGCACAGTGACAACCATTCCTGAGACACCAAGGGCTTGGTGGGTCCCAGTGGAAGGAGATGTGCCTTCGTCTCCCGAATCACCCACCTGCAGCCTCTGAGTGATGCTACCGTTAAGACAGGTCAGGATACAGTTATTTTACGCTGATACTTAGTATGTTTACAGCATCACAAAGGGGACTAGGCAAGGGAATGGGGCTTATATGACAAGGAAGTCCTTCTGTGGATCTACAGGCACTGGGGCTTGCCACGGCCAGAAAGGGGGGTGGGGTGGGAAAGAACGCCCTGCCTGTGTGAGGACCAGAGACAGCTCTGACCTCCAGGGAATGGAGCCCGAAAGTCCCAGCCGTGAGGACCATGCCCCGCCCTGCTCTGCACAGTGAGACAAGGCAGAGTCCCGAAGGCCTTGCCTGTCCCTGGATGAAGGGACAGTCGGATGGAAGAGGGTCACAATCTCTCTCTCTCTGCCCAGACTCTGCAGGTCCATGGAGAGGACATCTGGGTTTAATGTGGATTTAAATTATGGGCAGTGAATCTGGTAAGGAAATATTCTGGTTAAATCAAGATTTGGAGAAACGCAATTACATATACAGTCCACATAGAAATGCCCAGTTTTGAAGAATTCTTGTCTACCTTCTGCAAGCACAATCTGAAAGCTACGCCATTCAGTCTCTTTAGTCATGCATAAGGCGTTACAGGATAATCATGTACTCGAATGTCGCTCATTACTATTGTGCCAGTTTGAAGAAGTTGCTGAGTAAATGAATGTCAGATAATCAGCATTTTATGCAGTTATTTCAGAACTCCTGGGGATTATATGAAGGCGTTTCCCTTACACGCAGTTTATACCACACCTGAGGGCCAACCCCCCACTCAAGCTGGGAGGGCTGATGCTTCAACCAGGCACCCCCAGCACACCGGCTTGCTGGTAGGAGTTGTCACCTGTTAGGATGGCAAGCCATCCACAGCTAGCGGAAGAAGGGGGCGGCTATCCCAAAACTTGAGACAGTCAATGGAATGCACATACATTGGTCTATAAAGACATTTTTCCATTCTTAGCTCACTACTATGGAACATGAAGGTTGCCAAATTGCCTCCTTAATACCCTCACTGCCTATTTCACTTTTTTTTCCAATATACAAAGCCAAACATGATCACTTACCAACTTACAGATAGGACATAATTTTTGAATTAATTTACTTTGTACCTGACTGTAGAGCATTGTTTTGGTCTTGATACTGAGGAACCAAATGGAGTGCTTTTAGTTCTCTCGCGCTCGGATTGTCTATGCGCAGCATTGGTGTCCCGCCTTTCAACTGACATAGCACCTGAATGAAACACAAGGGTCAGGTCTCACTTGTCAAAGCCGCCCCGGGGGACTCCATCCCCCTCCCACGTGGGAGTCTGTACTTGCTCTTCAATAAATTTCCACCTTTGCTATAAAAAACAACAACAACAACAAAAAACCGTCCCAGAATGAACCCACACGAACTTCCACCAAGAACATAGCTTTAATCTGGAATTTATGTTTTCTTGGAAAATGGCAACCTGCCCATCTGTTCTCGATTCCTTCCTCCACCACACGCTCTCTGAGACGGTGGCTGGGCTCACAGAGGCCCCTGCCTCCTCTCCAGGCCACGTGAGCGCACAGCGCACCGAGCTGCCCTACCCCGGCCCACTCACAGTCTTCTTTAATTTCATGACAATTGTTCTTTCCTGCCACACTCATGTGTTTTATTTAATATGTGGGATTTTTTAAAACATCTATTAATGTTATTTCCTACAAGTACAACTTAGAAAGGTTAATCCAAGAACTGGAAAATTCTAAGAAGCCATGTCAGCGTTCCTGGGCCTGGCCAGCACTCAGGCCTCCTGGCTGGGCTCTGACCATGAATACACCCTCCGTGAGGCAAGGGCCTGCCAGTCAGGCACGTTGGTCAGGCAGAGCGGGGCTGGAGCCCTCCTTCGCTGGTGGCCCCGTCCCAGGAAGGGCAGCAGTGGTTTTGCCCACACAGCTTCCACTCGGATGGGAAAACCACAAACACCGGCCGGCTGTGCTTCTGCCCTCGGTGGCCTTTGGGCTCTGAGACAGGACAACTCAAGCCTAAAGGACCAGTGTTACCAGTCACAGGAGAGCCCGTGCTAGTGAGGCGCTCCCGGCAGAGCTCTGGGCACCCTGACCCTGGACGAGGGCCAGCATTCGTGTTCAGTGGGAGTTTATTTGTATCTGGAGGTTAAATTATAGCCGTGCACGCACGAGAGAGGCGCAGGGTGGACCCCAGGCCTCTGTCCATCGAGCACCCGGGGGCCTGACTCAATGGTCTGGTGTAAATGGAGGAGGCCCCGCCCTGCTCACCTGGTCCGTGTGTCCTGGAGAAGCTCTGCCCTCACTCCCCGGGTGCTTGACAGAGAGGCGAGTGCCGTGCATGCCAGAGCTAAGCCAGGTGCATTCCCTGGCAAAGTGTGGGCTTAGGGCGAAGGCCTCCTCTCTCGGAGTAAAGAGCTGCGGGGGTGGGGGGCAATCTTGGTTGTTGGGCTCTTTGCTCACAGAATGCTTGGGGCGGGCCCGAATCCTAGAGGCGCCGGATAGGCCGACTATGTAACATCTGTTTCTCAGCCATAAAATGAGGACAAAAATAATGCCCACCCTACAGACTGGATAAGAGAATCACAGGAAAGTAGCACACAGACCACACGTGTCACTGACTGCCTTCCCGAGAGGAGAGCTGGTGGTATTAGGACTTGGAGGTGGGCAGGGAGGGCAGCAGCCTCGGCCCTGCAGCCGCAGCCCGCCTCCCACCCACAGGCCACCACCCACGTGCCACCAACTCAGCCAGCTGCTGTCAGGCCGCCTGGTCTGCGCTGACTGATGTGACGTGTGGTCACTGTCCTTAAAAACACCGCCATGTCCTCATCCTTGTTTGACTTGCTGCATCTGCCTGGAGTGAGGATCTTGGAGCGGGAGGGTTAGGCAGGCTCGAATGCCCCTCTGGGGGAGACAACCAAAATGCTGACTCGGCAGGCATACGCTGACTGACACCACCAGTGCAGCTGGCTCTGTCACAGCGATACAGGCCCCGCATCCACACCACAGCCGCTCTCTCGGCAGGGTTACCATGGTGTTCGCGTCCTTCTGAGAGCCGCCCGGGGCGTCCTCGGCGTCCTGTGAGCACGGGAACTTGCAGGGCTCCTGGGACAGAGGGTTCTGCAGAGCGGCCTCCTCCACGCTCTCACTCGGCACAGCGCCACCTCCTTCCTTCAATTCCACCTGGAAAAGCGGTCGCTGCTCAGAAACCACGTGGGGGACATTGGGTGCAGCAGCTGCACAGCACAGAACAGAACGTTCTCTCTGGAAGTCACACTTGGCCTGCGTGCCTCCTTCCTCACCCTCCCTCCCTGCGGCACAGTCGTCCCGCCCGCCCGTGGGGCGCAGAGGTGTGATCTCCATGTGGCCCCGTGTGACCGAGCGGACTCCCAGGTCAGTGGGCGCCCCCCGAGCTGCTGGCCCCCCCCACTCCACTGGAGCTGCAGCCAGCGGGACCGTCCTGAGGGGCCCACCCTTCAGTGCCCCCCGAGAGCAGGCTCGTCGGCTCTGTGGAACCTGCTGGCCCATTGTTTGCTGTTTCCTCGCAAAGCCTGCAGTCCCTGCTGCTGTTTGGTGATATTTATAATGTAACTTACAACGCGCTGCCAGCGATAGTTAGTGTGGAGCTTCCCTAACTGAACAGTAGGACAACCTGAGTATGAAATGAGGGTGGGCATGACCGCCACCTTTGTGTCTCAGCTGTGCTCTACGCAACTGTCACCTCAGTGACACCAGCCAATTACCAAGAACAGGGAGAAATACCAGGATACTACTGAAAATCAATGGAGTAAGAAAGACACTAAAAAGTCTCAGTTAAAAAAATTACCATCAGAATCGAGGGTTTTAAAATTGAGATACTTTTTAAATGATAAGAATGTAAGGAGGGCTGCCCTCGGTTTTTCTCAGTGGTTAGAGCATTGGCCTGCGGACCCAAGGGTCTCAGGCTCGATTCCCGGTCAAGGGCATGTAGTTTGGTTGCAAGTTCAATCCCCAGCCCGGTCAGGGCACATACGGGAGGCAACCACTTGATGTCTCTCTCTCTCTTATCGATGTTTCCTCTCTCTCTCTCTCTCAAAATCAATGGGGGGGAGGGAGATAAAAGAAAAATAAATAAATAAAAATCAGTGGGAAAATATCCTTGATGATTAAAAAAAAAAAAAAGAATGTAAGGGGGGCAGAAAACACAGTTAACCTAACCGTGCACCCTCCACCCCACCCTTAGGCTCCACCTGCCCAGCTGCCTGTGAGACAGGGCAGGTAATCCTTCAAAAAAGATGGTGTTTGTATGGGAGCCGTGCCAGGACCAACAGGCAGAAGCTATCAGGACAGGTTTGGCAAATGGACATTCACGCCGGCTGAGAGGTTCTGCGGGAGACCTCTGTGTGCAGAGGGCTTGGGGCTGCCTGCTCTGTGGTCCCTCCCAGGCAGATGGGACCTCTACACCAGGAGTCCTCAAACTTTTTAAACAGGGGGCCAGTTCACTGTCCCTAAGACAGTTGGAGGGCCGGACTATAGTTTAAAAAGAAAAACTATGAACAAATTCCTATGCACACTGCACATATCTTATTTTTGAAGTAAAAAAACAAATGTTTTTCGGCGGGCACATGTGGCCCGAGGGCCATAGTTTGAGGACCCCTGCTCTACACCAAGGAGCAGTGCTTGTGCTAAAATAACCCAAACACCAGAAAGCAGAAATCCAAGGTGCTGCTGCTGGCGTAGGGGACGTGGAGTCCGGCTCCAGCCATCTCAACAGCAGTGCAAAGGCTAGCCTATGACCTACTCAAAGGACTAATGGTTGAGTAACCTAGCTTCCAAACTAGATCCTTCGGGGGTGAGGGGTGGGGAGTAGGGGGTGGCATACATTTCCTTGGGATCCTTTGCTTCCTTTAAAAATAAATTTGTTGCCTTGGCCGGTTTGGTTCAGTGGATAGAGCGTTGGCCTGTGGACCGAAGGGTCCTGGGTTCGATGCCGGTCAAGGGCACATGCCTGGGCTGAGGGCTCGAACCCCAGTGTGGGGCGTGCAGGAGGCAGCCGATCCATGATTCTCTCTCATCATTGATGTTTCTCTCTCTCTGTCCCTCTCCATTCCTCTCTGTGTGAAATTAATAAAAAATATACTTTAAAAATGTATTTGTTTAGCAAGGACAGAGGATAAAATTATCAATGATTTTCTTCAGCAAAGGAGGGTAGTTATCTGAGAACTGGCAGGAGTTCGCTGTGCTCTGTATGACACAGGCATTCTAAATGTAAAGGGGGGAGAAAGCTAAAGGCAAGAACATGAAAAGTCAACCACGCTGCGTTTGTTTTCACAGACACAGTTACTCTGACCATCAGGGCTCCTCTCCTAAAGCCAGTGACAGCGCCCCATGTTCCCCACTTTCCAGTCCTTTTCCTCTGTGGTCGGGCGCCCCCTGCAGGGCTAGGCCAGGGTGAACCAGGGACCCAGGACGTGATTCACCTGCAGGCTGAACGGGTTACAAAGGGCTGCACCCTGTGTGGCCGGACACCAACCAGGGATGGGGCTGACACAGAGACAGGCCGGGGCAGCCAGCAGCCTCCCCGCCCGGCTCCCGGCGGGCGGAGGGGGTACCGTGCCAACCTCCCCCCCCCCCCTCCATCTTACTGGGATCACCCGGACGCCGGCGTGGGCGGCTCCGTCCAGGGCCCAGGCGCCCAGGGGCACGAGGGCCGGACTCCGGTGCGGGGTCAGCAGGGAGGACAGCAGGTGCACGTTGTAAGTCGGCGGGGGCGGCGGGGCCGCGGGGAGCACCGCGTCCTCCAGGGGGTCGAGCTCGGCGAGACTCGGGAACTGGCCCAGGATCTCCTCCTCGTGGTCATCCACCAGCAGCTCCACCTTGACCTTGCTGCCGAAGTCCGCGCCCAGCGGCGGGTTGAAGGCGTGCAGCAGGGGCTCCTTGGGGCCCGCGGGGCTCAGGTAGGGGTCCTTAAACACGTGGAACTCCTCCTCCTCCGCCTTCACCACCGCCGGCGCCTTCAGGCCTGTGTTTTCTGAAACAAACCGACCCTCTGCGCCGAACAGGTCCGGCCCCATCTCCTCTTCGGGACTGGACATCCCGCCCAGCAGGGGCGCCTCGTCCATGTTCCCGACAGGACCCCGCACCCGGCGCCAGGCGGGATCGGCAGGGCCGCGCACCTGCAAAGACGCGGCCAGGTTAGAGGGCGCCTGCCCGCCCCTCCCCCCCGCTGCCCCCGGGCTGATGTGGGGAGAGGGGTCCCACCCTCCCGACCAGGGGGTCCAGCCGCCCCGAGGGGTTGACCAGGGGCCCACCGTCCCCCCCTATCCCCGCCTGCAGACCCGAGGCCGGGCCAAGGCCCTGGAGACAGGCCTCCTCGGAGGGGCGCACCTGGCCTTGGGGTTGCTGGAGCACAGGTGTGGCGGTTAACGGTTGTGGAAAGGGGCGGAGCGGGCGCGAAGCCGTGGGCGGGGCTTGAAGGCAGGGCCTGCCGGTGGGTGGGGCGTGAGCGGGGCGGGCCCTGT